AAGAAAAACAAAAATTGGAAGACATCAATAATCCCTTAAAGAGAAATGAAAAATACAATCAAACAGATGAAAAAAAAACTATTCAAGACTTGAAAACCAAAATAGAAACAATAAATAAAATACAAGCTGAGGGAACTGGAGAAACAGAAATCACGAGAAAATAATCAGGAATCACAAATGCAAGCACAAACAGCAGATTACAAGGGATGGAAAAGAGAATCTCAAGCGCTGAAGATACAATAGAGGAAATAGACTCATCAGTCAAAGAAAACATTAAATCTAATGAAAGCTAAACACAAAGTATCTGGAAAATATGAGACACCATAAAAAGACCAAATCTAAAAACAATATGTTTAGAAGAAGAAGTCCAACTCAAAAACACAGAAAATATATTTAACAACATCATAGAAGAAAACTTTCTCAACTTAAAGAAAAATATGCCTATGAAGATAAAAGAAGCTGAGAGAATAACAAAAGGACCGAATCAAAAAAGTCCCCTTTCCACATAATTATCAAAACATTAAATATACAGAATAAAGAAAGAATATTAAGGGCTACAGAAAAAGCCAAGTAACATATAAAGGCAGGCCTTTCAGAATTACACCTTCCTTCTCATTGGTAACAATGAAAGCCAGAAGGTACTAGTCTCATGTTATGTAGACATAAAGAGACCACGGATGCCATCCCAGTCAACTATACCCAGCAAAATTTTCGATCACCACAGAAGGATAAAATAAGATATTCTATGACAGAACCTGATTTAACCAATACCTAGTGACAAACCCAGTCCTACACAAAGTACCAGAAGGAAAACTTCAATGCAAAGAAGTTGTCTACAACAACAAAAACACAGACAATAAATGATCTCACAGCAGCAATTCCCATAGAAGGGAAAACTACGCACAATAACATCACTAACAACGAAAATTAAAATAAAAAGAGATAGCAATCACTGATCATTAATATCCCTTAATATAAATGGACTTAACACACCCATGAAGAGACACAATCTAACAGATTGGATATGAAAACAGAATCCATCCTTCTGCTGCATACAAGAAACACTCCTCAAACTCAAAGACAGATATCGCCTCACAGCAAAAGGTTGGTAAATATTTTTCCAATCAAATGGACCTAAGAAACAAGCTGGCTTAGCTATCCTAATATCTAACAAAATAGACTTTGAAGTAAAATAGACAACGAAAGACATTTTATGTTAGTCAGTGGAAAAATCCAGCAAGAGGAAATCTTAATACTAAACATCTATTCCCCAAATACAAAGGCATCCTCATATGTAAAAGAAACACTTCTAAAGCTTATATTACACATTAAACCCCACACACTAAGAGTGGGATATTTCAACACTTCACTCACACCATTGGACATGTGTGTCAGACAAAAACGTAACAGAAAAATAAGGGAACTAATAGATGTTGTGACACAAATAGACTTAGCAGAAAGCTATAGAGCATTCCATCCAACGATAAAAGAGTCTACCTTCTTCTCAGCACCTCATGGAACCTTCTCAAAAATTGACTATACACTAGATAACTAAACAAATCTTAACAGATACAAAAAAATTGGAATAACCCCATGTATCGTATAAGATCACTGTGACTTAAAATTAGAATTCAACAGCAACACTAATTGCAGAAAATCCACAAAAACATGGAAATTAAACAATGCTCACCTGAAGCATCAATGGGTCAAGGAAGAAATAAAAGACGAATTTAAAGACTTCTTAAAATTAAAGAAAATGACCACAAAACATACCAAAATTTAGGGAACACAATGAAATCAGTGTTAAGAGGAAAGTTCATAGCACTAAATGCCTACATAAAGAAGTTGGCAAAATCCCACACTAGTGTTTTAACAGAACATTTGAAAATTTTAGAACAAAAAAAAAGCAAACTCATCCAAGACAACTAGAAAGTAGGAAATAATCAAATTGAGAGCTGAAACCAACAAAACAGAAACAAAGAAAACAATTTAAAGAATCAATGAGACAAAGAGTTCAAGAAAATCAACAAAATAGACAAGTACTCATCCAAACTAACCAAAAGGCAGAGAGAGAATATCCAAACTAGCAAAATCCAAAATGAAAAAGGCACATAATAACAGACATGGAAGAAATTCAGAGAATCATTAGGTCATGTTTTGAAAACCTGTATTCTAAAAAAATTGGAAAACTTAAAGGAAATGGACAACTCTCTGGATAAATATCACTTACCAAAATTAAATCAAGACCAGATAAGCAAATTAAAGAGACCTATAACTGCTAAAGAAATAGAAACAGTCGCCAAAATTCTCCCCCCCGCCAAAAAACAAAGCTCAGGACCAGATGGTTTCAGCTCAGAATTCTGCAAAATTTTCAGCAAAGTAATAATACCAATACTCTTAAAATTGTTCCACACAATAGAAACAGAAGGAACATTGTCAGACTCTTTTTATGAGGCTATAATTAGCCTGATACCCAAACCACATAAAGATATTACTAAGAAAGAGAATTACAGACCAATCTCATTCATGAACATTGATGCAAAAATACTCAATAAAATACTGGGAAATAATATCCAAGAAAACATCATTTGCAAGAAAATGGATGGAAGTAGAAAAAGTAATCCTGAGTGAGGTAACCCATACTGCAAAGATAAGCATGGTATGGACCCACTCATAGGTGAATACTAGCTGTAAAGCCAAGGGTAAGGCTTTACTCCACAACCCTAGAGAAGCTAAGTAAAAAGAAGAACCCTAAGAGAAACATACATACATCCCCCTGGGAAGGAGAAATAGGAAAGGTCTCCTGAGAAAATTGGGAATGTGGAGGGGAGATTAGGCAAGGCAGAAGGGGAGGAGGAAAGTAGAAGAGGAGGGAGGAAGAGAACTAGAGGGTTGTTCAACATGGGTGAAGGACAGAGATGGAGAACAAGGAAAGATATATCTTGATTGAGAGAGCCATTATGAGTCTAGCAAAACGCCTAACACTAGAGAAATTCCCAGAAACCCACAAGGATGACCCCAGCTAAGAACGTAACCAATAGTAAAGATGGTGTCTGAACTGGCCTTGCCCTGCTGTCAGATTGATGAATATCTTAAATGTCTTCCAAGGACTTACATCTAGCAACTGATGGAGACAGATACAGAGAACCACAGCAGAGCACTGGGATGAACTAAAAAAGTCCAGATGAAAATAAGGAGGAGTGAGAATATGAGCAAAGAGGTCAAGGCCGTGATGGGGTTACCCACTAAAAGAGCTTACCTGAACTACCTTACTGACCTGACAGCAAGGGAGCCTACATAGGAACAAACTAGGCCTTCTGAATATGGCTGGGGCAGATGGTGGGGCCACTGGCAGTGAGACCAGGATTTATCCCTACTGCTTGTTCTGGCTTTTTTGGAACCTATTCTTCCTGGAGGGATACCTTGCTCAGCCTAGATACAGTATGAAGGGCCTTGGTCCTACCTCAAGCAATGTGTTAGACTTTGTCGACTCTCCGTGGGAAGCATATCCTCTCTGAGGACAGGAGGGAGGGTAGGGTAAGAGCTGGCAAGGGGGAAAGTGGAGGGACCATGAAGATTAGAGGGATGGAAAATGTATTTGGCCTGTAAAATGAAGAAAGATAGATTTTTAAAATAAATTAAAATAAAAATTGATTTGTTTTATGCTATATTATAATTCGCAGTAGTGCATAATGAAAGGATGGAATTATATCTAAAACAAAAGTATTTCTGTTGTTTTGATATCAGGGTAACTTCAGCCTCATAACAAGAGTTTGTCAATGTTCCTTCTGTGTCTATTATGTGGAATACTTTGAGGAGTATAGGTATTAGCTCTTCTTTGAAGTTCTGGTAGAATTCTGCACTAATTTTTTTGTTTTTGTTTTTTGGAACCCATTCTCTTTGGAATGGATACCTTGCTTGGCCTAAATACAGTAGGGAAGACTTGAACCTTCCACAAAGCAACGTGCCTTATTTTCTTTGAGGAGTGGATGGGGTGTAGTATGGGGGAAAGATGGAAGGAATGGGAGGAGTAGAGGGGTTGGGAACTGGGACTGGTATGTAAAATAAAAAAGATAGTTTGCTTTGTTTTAAATAAATAAATAAATAAAATAAAAGAGTATTTCTGATAAGTGGTATTACAGGAGAGAAGTATAGAGATGAAAAATTATTCTATTTATTGATTTTTTTACAAGTGTATTTGGCAGGAGCTGTACCAGAGTGCACTTAATAGCAGAACACAGATTACTGCTTGGAAACAATACTGTGAAATGACGAGGTAGGAAATTATCTTATGTATTTGTCTGGAATGTCCTTACTCATTTCTACATCTTTACAATCATTGCTACAAGGAGGAGAGAGCAGATCAGAGAGTCGGGATAGATACAAGGTCAATGTGTCTGTGAATGACAGACACTAAAACCTGACATCACTACTTCACCTGCATGTGAAAACATTGTATGAAATATTTCAAGTGTTTGCAATGTGGAGTCCGGCTATGGCTTTTTCTCTCATCTGTTCACACTTCCAAGTGTCTTCCAAAACAGCAATCCAAATCAAATATGCTTGACCTATAATTCTGTCTCATGCTATGCTGTTCTCCAAAGTCACTGTGGATGATTATGAAATCATAGAGGTAGGGAAATAAGGAAAGAAGCAAACATGTTTTTCTCCAGCATAGAGGATGCAGGTGCAGAGTCCCAGGGCAATGATATCCCCAGAGCACACATACAAGAGTGAAAAGCAAGAAAAGCCAGCACATTCATGTTCACTCTAATTATTTAGAGGAAAATGTCAACATTCACTTACCCTTGGTTTTCTGGACTTTCTTCTGTGTCCCTGTCTTGCATGAGAACCATAGACTATGTAACATCAGGAACCACCTGTAGCTAACATCTTCTCTGACACTGTCAAGGTCTGAACCTGTTCCATGAACTAAGCCAATAATCTTCTTGGCTCATCCTAGTTGCAGGGGATTTTGTCTGGGTAGTGCAGACCCTGACATGTCTCTTTCTTTGCTTTGCCTCTTTCTAATCTTGCAATCTATGTATGCGTTAATGAAAATAACTAATCAGAAGTGTTTTGAGTATGGGAAGCCCACCACATACTTGAAGGCTGACTTAATCCTAGGTGCGTTTATCCCCATTTTCTTCACACTAGAAGGACCCAAGGAAATCCAGATATTTTTTGAGAAAAAAGAGAATCCACTAATCAAAAGTTTAATGTAAGTACTTGTGCCCCTGTGCTAAGGATTATTCTCAAACTTAATGTAAGTACTTGTGCCCTGTGCTAAGGCTGTTCTAGCTGTACGACAGTGCATGCTCATCTGCACACATGTAATTCCTTTAAGAATAATGAACTGTATACACAGAAATGTGAAACTCAGTTGGAAACTTTCCTCATTCATTATGCTTCTAGAGATCTTTACTGCCCTCCTCTTTATTTTTCTAGTCAAGTAGAGATCAAAAGAGGGAAATCACCAACTTTTGTGTCTGTCCATATTGTGAGTTCATGGTAAGGCTTATATTATTTACACAGATTGACTTTAATGTGTCAGGAGTGGTTGCACCCCGCTCACATATCTTTGGGATTCTAAATGTGTTGTGTTTGAATGTTTCTTTCTTTCTATAGACCAGGAAAGTTTCTGTTAAATCCCCATGTCTTTAGTGCATACCTTAGCATCTCCGACCCCACATGTTCTTGCATTAGTTTGTTTAAATATCTCAAGATTTCGACATTGTGATCATGTTTATTACTTATTTATTTCTCATTGATATTTTAATGCAGTGTCTGCAAATCCCATTCTTCATTCCTGATACTCTGTCTTCTGCTTCCTCAGTGCTGCTGGAATCACTTTCCACTGAGTTTTTATTGGCAGTTTCTTGTTTTTATTTCCAACATTTCTATCTCTTCCTCCCTTACCCCAGAATCTCCATTTCCTTTTAGGATTTGACTTTCTTGGTACTGAGTATTTGATACATATTTTTTTCACCCTTCAGCCATTGTTTTCCTGTACAGTGTTGTATTTGTCTCAATGCCCAGTTGAATTTACTTTCTTGTTTCTATTTTCTTTTAGGTCATCCATCTTTTTACTGTTTGAACTACTAATCTGACATTTGATGTTTCTGAATATTTCTTGGTTCATTTGTTGGTTAGTTATATTTTGGAGTAATAATTTTGCTTTTTTTAGTAATTCTTGTTGTTTGCTTTTATTGTTTTAACAATACCTTTGTTCATTTGAGCATCAATTGTAGGTTTATGTGGTTCTATACTAAGAAGTTTCTTCTTAAATGTCCAACCTATTCATTGCTCTGTAAGAAGGAAACAAACTTCCAGGCCTATACTCCTAGTACTTGTGGTGTTATGGAATATGTGAAGAAAAAATTCCTAGATTCTAGATTTATTTTTAACATACACTACTCTTAGGAATGCTTTCACAGGATGGAAGGGCTACAGTTCTGTAGCCCACTACAGCAGGAGATGGAAGGAGTTCCAAGACTAGGAGGAGAGAGAGCCCATCCTCAAGGAGAGGCAATGGGCAGGAAAGCTTTAACTGTTACCTGTTACCAGGAGACTAATATGATTGACTTATGGAAGCAATAATTCAAAAGGAGTACTTATCCGCCTGATGTGTCATAGGTGAATTCCAGTCGCATCTCACTGAATCTTGCATTAATTTGTTTTAGTTTACAGATGAAGATGAAAGACTTAGATATATTAATATTTCCACTCTCTGTAATCTGTACTGAAACCTTATTGTAGAAGAAGCAGATAGCCAGTGTCTATTTATAGCTGTTGTAGACTCATGATTTAGAGTCATATCAAAAGCTTAGTGATTCAAAGGGGGATAAAAATATGAACACTCTTTCCCTGTTTCCTTTGTCCAGATTTTATGTATGTATGTCAGATAAGTGTTCAGCACAATGAGAAGCAATTTGAAGTCTTATTTAGAAAACAATGAAAGAAAATTAAAAATTTTACTCGTTGGCTATGAAAATAGTAGGTAGTACTTTACCAAGACTAGATTAATAGCTAATCAGAACTCTGCTGATTAATATGATAAACTATATATGTTTGAATCTTTAAGTCTCATTTTCATATACCTTAGATATGTTAAACACACCTTTGTAACTTTCATTTACCTACTTTAAATCACTTCCCTAGAACCTCAAAACTAACATCAACTTCAAACTTTTCTCCATCCAGTCTTTTACCAGGAGACTAATATGATTGACTTATGGAAGCAATAATTCAAAAGGAGGTTCTTTACAATAAAAGAATAGTAAAATGTATATTTGTTTCTAGTAATAGCATGATAGTTTCAATTTGGTTTTCTTTTTTATTGATTTTTATTGAGCTCTACATTTTTCTCTGTTCTCCTCCCTGCCTTCCCCCTCACTTTCAATCCTCTCCCAAGGTCCCCATGCTTCCAATTTAATCAGGAGATCTTGTATTTTTCTACTACCCATGTAGATTAGATCCATGTATGTCTCTCTTAGAGGCCTCACTGTTGTCTAGGTCCTCTGGGATTGTGATTTATGGGCTGGTTTTCTTTGTTTTATGTTTAACTTGTTTGTGAGATTATCTTTTTTAGTGTTAGCCCTGTCAGCAGGTAACCCTGTGTGTGAGTCTGCCTTTTTCAGCAGATGACCTGTTCACTGTAGAATAAAACAAGACCTGACTTTTGCATATGATATGGACTGACCATGCAACTGCAGCCTTGTTGGGAGGAGCTGAGTAGGACTGCTTGCTGCTGCTAAAATTATAAAACTGAAACTTGCTATCACCACTATTAGATATCTGAGGATACATGTGAGCAGGAAGTATAATCTAAATTGCCTCTGTATCATCTAAAATGATAGAGACTTACCTGATATTGGGGCAACCAGTTGGGATCCTTCATATGATTTGAATATCTTTTTTAAGAGCAGAGATTGTCATGTTTAGATGTCACATGAGACACCATTGGACTTTGGTTGCCACATAGGACAGCATCAGCCTTCAACGACCAGACTCATGAGATTTGAGAAATATATCTATGGAGGAGGAACTTGAGGAAACTGACCTACCTTGCCAAGGCAGAGTGGGGCATTCAACACCACAGTGTTCAAAGTTTGGGCAGGGATCAGGTGGTGGGTGAGACATATGCCAGCTCTTGACCCAGTGGCAGGCATTAGTGCAGCTGAGGTAATATCCAGGTGAAGTCTGTATTTTCCATGGTATTTGTGGATAAACTCAACTACAGATTATGGAAGCTGGTATTTTTGTTTATAAGGTGAAGTCTTTTTATTAAGTACCTTAAATGCCATGTTCAACAGATCTCTCTGAGGGGTTTGAGGGACATCATCTAATTTATTTACTATATCTGATTTTACACAAACTTTACTTCTTTTTAGTTACTTGCTTAAGACTTGTCATTGATAACATAAGCAGAAGGCTAAAGCTTGTCCTGCTGTAAATGAAATACATTCGTACTCATCGTGACCAAAACAAGGCTCTGAGCAGGGTAAAGAATTTGATCATTTACAAAGTGACTGACCATTAGCTTGAATGTCTTAATTATCTTCTACAGTTTACAAGTTGGTAGCTTTTATAAGAATAGAATTTACAGTTTCATCCCTGTTAAGTGAGCCTTATAATTTTGAATTGAACATTTAATTGAAGACCCTTGCTGGGCAGTGGTGGTAAATGATTTTAATCCCAGCACTAGGGAGACAGAGGCAGATGGATCTCTGTGAGTTCGAAGTCAGCATGCTCTACAAGAGCTAGTTTCAGGAGAGGTACCAAAGCTACACAGAGAAATCCTCCTTCGAAAAACCAAAGGAAAAATAAAGATCCTTTGGCAACAAAATAAAATTTTAAACAAAAAATATAGTCCACAGCACATCTGGGAACACAACTTCATGATCATTCATAGTATATCTTTACAGAATATCAGTTTCTTATATGACATATTTTATTCAAAAAGCTCAAGACTAACAAAGTTATCAAATACAAAAGAGGCATGCATCCATCTTAGATTCAGTTTCTTCTAGCCAGGATAGATGTTAGAAATTTATAAACTTTATCAAGCATAACTTATTCATTAAATACATATTATTTTTTATCTATATTGTCTATATGCCTAGGGTTGGACACAGTTAGCAATGGCAAAAGTGATCTGACATACATCTCTAAATCAGTTTCTATTATGGTAAATAGGCTCTTAAAACCTTGGTAATCATAAATCATCTTGAAACTTTTGCCTTTAGCAAGTTCTTTTATCCACAAACAAGAATTAAATCAAATGACATGTGCAGTTTTTTTGTGTCATATCTGTTTTTCTAAACAAGAGTTGCATTCAAGTCACAAATAAGCATATTCCATATTTTTAACTCTAAAGTCTTTCTGTTACAAATTTTAACCTGAGTTTTTGTTTCAGATTTTACAGATTTTTAAACTATATTCAATGAATTCACAAATTCATAGCTACAGAAGCTTTAGAAAATAGGCTTATAAATCTTTAAGACAAATACTTTATCAAAAGTTTTAGGGATATAAGAGAGGGAAGTAGATTAGCAGCCATAATCACTATTTCAAAAAGTTTGTTTTTTAGTTATTTTTAAGCATATGGTGTCTTTTACTTTTTGTTCTCCTTCGCCTTCTTATAGATTCAGGTATATCTGACACAGGACAGATTTGAATGAAACTTTCAAGCAGCATACTCAAGTCTGGAGGGAGAGGGCTGAAACACAGAGCCAACTTCTTTATCGAATACTCAAAATAAAACAGTTTTTAAAATTATTCATAGTGCAAAGATATTCGAATCTCTGTAAAACTGTTCAGTGGTCAGAGGAAAACACATGAACAAGCAGAGAGTAAAGAAGATTCCATGAGAAGACAAGAGCAGGGGACAAAGAAAACACAGATATAAGAGACCTTGAGAATAAATAGCAGAATGAGTTTCGAAATCAGGGACTTTGGGATCATATGCTTGTGAAGTAGAGAAAGTTGTTACAATTTTTGAGCATTTGGAAATCCAGAGTGCCATCTTTGCTCATTGACCTATCCTTGGGAATATCCATTTGCAAGAAGACAACTAGTATTAAGGAAAACTCTAAATCTGAGAAGGAAAAAAAGATGAGAGAAGGTACATGAAAGTATTCTGAGCAAGCTCAAGGAGTAAGCAAAGAATATGTTTGGAGGAAGAGCAAGTATGGGAGAGAGAAGGGTAAGTTTCCTGGA